GACATGTAATGCTCTTTCTAGTTTTGTCTCTGAGTAGCATATCATTGAGAGGTTAATTGGATGTGTTATTTTTAAGTAACAGGATAAAGTACACTGGAGAGGAAAAATGAACCTATGAAAATTCGGAGAATGCATTAGGGATAAATGTTAGAAATTACATACTGAGGAACACCTAGACCGTTAAGAATATTTGCAAGGAAGGTCACTTTTTCCCCCCTAAAATGTAGTCAAATGGAGACCTCCAGCTCACCTACTTGCGTTTTAAATTCAATTTTTTGGCTTGCACTAATATGCTCATCATAAAATGTATGAGCCCTGTACGCCAAAGGAAAACATAAAATACAGCTACGAAAGAAAAAGCTGCACATATTATTTAGAAATATATGTTTTCATTTTCTTGTATGACATATATATAATGCTATTTTTTTTTCTTATTTGGTACTCAGTGGTTTAGTTCCTCCTGAGTATATCATAACTTTCATGTCATATATCTGAGTTCCATCCAAGCAGGATATATTTTTTCCCACTCTGTAAATAGAAGTAGATAAACTGGTTATACTGTAATGTTTATGTGATGGGATTTTTCAAGAACCTCCCTGAGAAAGAAAAGCAAAACTAAGACAAAGTTAAGTTAGGCACATGAACATTCATTTTGGCCTATTTAAGGAGGTCCTTAATTCCACTTGCATTTGGTTTTTGGGTTTTTTTCCTGTTAGACACAGATGTGGCTTAATTCAAAGTCCAAATTACTTGTGTAGAGGTTATGGCTACATGGCTTGTGGTTTCCAGACCACACTTAATAGGATGAGTGGTCTTCCTGCGTGGTGGGCAGTTTTGCTTGTAAAATTATTTAGATGTTTTTTGTAAGTGGAGTGCCCAAAAAAATTCCCAAACTCTGGACAAGTATAAGGGATTAGAGTAAATGTACTGAAGAATGAAGCAGGTTCTTCAGTATGTTCCAATGTTTTTTTAGTTATAACAGTAGCATCCCCTTGGACATGCATTTTGGCTTATGCTGTGGGCCTTTATCCAAGTGTGGAGCTCAGGTAGACAGTGAAAAAGCTAAAACACTGGCAATGAAAATGAATAGGAAGTTTTGGTCCTACTAGAGATGTTGAGTGAGAGCCAGTTTTGGGGCATTATTCATTTAGATGGATTTTGGCAAGAGTAAGTGAAGGAACGGTCACTTAATGTCCATGGTTTTTTCCAAGTTCTGTCAAATTCAGTTTGTCTGTCTTGGAGTTATAGTGGTGATAGCATATGTGGGAACCATTGGGTCATTCAGGAAGTTCATGCAGTATTTTTTTGATGTCTGTTTGTTTTTCACTACACAAACTCCTCCCAAAAACCCCAAGTGACTTTAACAGCAATGAGTAGACACAGTTCAAAATTGTTTAGAGGCAATTTCTCATTATAACCTGAGAGAGTAAATGTGACATTTCCACCACAGGTAGACAGAGACACCTTGGCATAGACATTTGGAGATGCTACTGGAGATGACCTGTGGTATTTGAGACACCCCCATAGGGCTGTCGGATGTGATGCAGATCATATGGGATATCCAGGCAGTGGTAGCTGGAGGCCAAGCATCCTGTGCTGGGCAAGGAATTGAGTCAATGCTGTTTATTTGTTAGAAAAATATCTTTGTGGGTTTGTTTTGTTTCTTCTTTGTTTGTTTAGTTTTTGCTGTTGTTGTGACGTGTGCTGTGTGTAATATTTAGTTACTATAAACCATAATTCTTGAGATCTTGTAATTGAGACCTCTCTTCACTGGAATCATAAGGCAGCAGGGTGCTGCTTTGCAACTACATAATGAAGTTACTAGCTGTTGATATTCAATGTAAATAGGTTTGAATTGATACTCCTTGTGAAATCTGTCTAACACCTTGCAGTCTAATTTGGATTTTGATGTGGAGTAAGTCAGTTTTGGAGCTGGGCTATGGACTATGTCCTATTATTAGTGGCATTGCAGCATTTCTAATCCTGAAGGCTAGGAGTGAGAAGCACCACAAGATTAGTGCTGCTTAGTGTATGGCTGAGTCAGGTGTTATCACTGTGACATGTTTTTCATATTGCTTTTGAAATATATTTTGACATTCAGCCTTATGTTAGGTACTTAGTTGTCAATAAATTCTGTGGCTAGAAGGCCTTGTCTTCATGTTACACTGCACCCAACTATGACAGCTGCAGAGTCTACAGAGCTGTGTGCTGTAATGAGGCAAGAAAATTGCAGAAAAGTAAATAACTGTTACAGTAGGTAGGTATGTTAAAAATTTAACTGTTTTGAGCAGCACAGGTAACTGGCATTCCAATCGCTTTGCCTAAGACATTTTGTGGCCGTCAGCATCCCAAAGAAGAGGAGCTGTAATGCAGTGTAATAAAATACCCTAAGGACAGAAAGAACCTGAACATATACAAAAATGTCCCTATGGATCAAGGAGGGATCAAATTATATAAGCAAGTTGCTTATGTACACTGGTAGTTAGAATCTGCACTTTTCTAATAACCTTTTGTGCTTCAGTCCTTAATTGCTATGGAATTAAGGGTTTTATTCTGAAGAAGTAACATTTTTGAGTACATTTCAGTTTACACAAAAACTAGGGGGATGAAAGCAGTGATTTGGGGCATGCATAGTTAAATGGCACTGAACTTCTAGTTTCCTACGCATGCCAATTCCCTCTGTTTTACTACTAATGCATTTCAATTCTGCACATTTTTAAATTTGAGGTTTTTTTCTATGATTTTAATATCAACTAGCATCATAGCTTTGGTTTATGGGCATACAGAATTGAGTCCACCATGTTAACGTTCTGCATCACCTTAATTGGAATAAGCCTATTTCCAAAGGCATATTTATTATGTTCTTCAGCTGGCTGAAAAATTTGCTTCCCAGAAGAAATCTAATTAGAATTTAGTCATCAGATATCCCAACAACTGCAATTTCAAGATGCTCCTGAATAACTTGCATGCACAAGAGCTAGCTACCTACTGTAGCAAGGGCAGCTTGCCCTATGTAAGAGGCCCATCACCAGCATACATTCTGAGTCCAACCTAGAGGTTACACAGAGCTGCTTTCTTCAAAAGCAAGGCCAGTTGAATTTTTTTTGCTGGACAAAGTGGAGAGAAGTGGGAATCGGAAAAAAAGGAGATTTGAAAGAATATGGGGACCCAGTTCATGGTGGTCATAGCTTCCAGTAAGTTGCCAAGATACAATTTTAAAGCCTAATAGCATCTCTTGAATGTTACCATACATAATGCCAGAGATGTGTGCCTAAGCAAAATAACTGGTGTGGTAAATGCTTACACAGCTGGTGAGGGGTACATATATATATATATATATGCACATATACATAGGTAGAGAGTAAAATAGAAACCCATATACTGGCTCTTTGCTCCCCTAGACAGAAGTATGCTCCAGAGCCTGAGCAGTCTGCCTTCAGTAAGGCTTAGGAAAAGGGCAAAACTGCCCCAGGGTGTGCACTGGTACTATTTATCACATTTTTATTACTTGTTTACTACAAATAAAAATACTGTGGCAGCTGAAATGTTTCAGCATTACATATTTCATTATTTTCAGATCTGAAGTGCAGTGTGTCTGATCCTAATTGCACAATTTAAATACTAATAATCATTCAGCTAGGCGAGTCCTCTGTGTATTACTGATAATAATCCTTGTTTTAGAAAATGTACAAAATGGGTCCACGTTCATCATCTGTGTAATTCACTGAAGTGGAGACAAATGTAATAAAATGACCCCTGAGTAAAGAGACCTTTTTGTTTCAGTTTTGGAAAGGGAAAATTCCTGTCACTCCTGGATGAGCTGATTAATTTTTGCCTTCATTATACTCCTGTTTTCCACTGCAGTGCAAACCGTGAATAAGCCTGTGGCCACCTTTCTTTGACGGTTTAGCCCCCAATTTTTCTCTGCATTAATTCTTTTTTCATTTCAAGTCCAAGCTTGCTTGCCAATGATTGAAATTCTGGTCTCAGCAGGACCAATTAGACTAATTTATTTATGTGGGTTAAATTCTCCTGAAACGCTTTTCTTTGGAGTTGTATTTATCAGTAGTGAATTTTCTCTGTGCTATACCTTCCAAGTATTAAGCTGCATTCAGAGCAGAGATTTAAAGAGAAACAATCTATTTCCTTTGCACTTATAATGAGATATTGTCTTTGAAAGGTGCCTCTGTTAGTTACCTATATAACTTATTTAATATTGTAACAGTGGTTTGGCTGAAATACAAGAACAAAAATATAAGTAGTATATAAATTACAGTCCATAGTTAATCTCAGACTATTATCTAGAGGAGCTTCTCTGTCTACCTCATTCTGTATCTGAGGAAAAATAAGGATAATTTGGGATTCTGTGCCAGCAGATGCCTCCCTCCCCCTCCTCAGCCCCACTCCCAAAGCTTGGGCTCAGTTTTCTTAATACTGAAGCATCGAAATAGTGGAAGGAAACCTTAAGAATTTAAAAATTATGGTCGTTTCCACTGAAATTGCTTTAGCCTTTGCCATAAAGGCTGTCAGACCTGTAGAGTTGGAGCACAGGAACTGAGCAAGCAGCAGACATCTATGTACATTTGTGAAATGGCAGCAATGCTACCAACTGGCAGCTTGCAGCCAATCTGACTGGCGATCTGTGCATAGCAGGGGAAATACCCCCCTCCAGCTGTAAAGGAATTGCAGAGCAGCGGCAACAGGCAGGATGCAATCCCTTTGTGTGTGATCGATAACAGCTCTCCAACTCCCAGGCTGCAAGTGAAATCAGGCTGCTTTGTAGAGTGTCATTTCAGTGGAGTCAGGGTGGTAAGCAGACATGTCGCTGAGGTGACTGAAACTGTTGCTGTATTGGTGCTACGTTTGAGCAAGCACAGAAAAGAGAGAACACAAGCAGGCTGAAGGTTTCTTTAAAAAACCTTTTTTGTCTAAATTTAGAAAATCCTCTGCCAAGTCTCCCAGGGATCTTTCCAGAGATGGTGAAAGTGCTCATAAATAACCCCACACCCTAGTAACAATACATAACACAGCCTGAATTGCTGGAATTTCAGCATCTCCTGACCAGCTGGGTATTGTGCAGCTGTCAGAGTCTACAGCTTCCCTGTATTGCTGACTGCCTATAATGAAAAAAAAAAGAAGAATAAAAGATTTTTACTGTGTTTTAGGAATTGTTTTTAACTCTTACTAGTGCAATATTTCTTCCTGTTTAGTTCCTATCAGCAAAAGTGTGAGTCTGTAGCATGAGAAATACATGCCGGCGGCAGCAGCATGTTGGCAGACCAAAGGTCTTGAGCCTAAGCAATGTCTAAAGTCCTTGGCCCTGTAATGCTTCTTTTTTTTTCTCATTTTTGCCACAGGTAGGGGAGTTCAGAGCCCATGCTGCAGAGTGGACAGCCAATGTCACCGCTGAGTTCAAAGAAACTCGAAGGCGCCTGAGCGTGGAGATCTATGACAAATTCCAGAGGGCTACCTCTATCAAAAGGAAGCTCTCTGCAGAACTCGCCGTCAACCACAATCAAGACCTGACTCCCTGCAAGAGAACACTGTCAGTCAACCATCTCACCAGTGAGAAGGACATCTTACCAGCTCTGTCAAAGACAGACAGCATTTACATGAATGGCTTGACACCCCACTGTGCAGCAGAAGAGATAGCCGTTATTGAAAACATTAAGTAGCTGTGACTTTGGATCCCAGCCCTTGGGAAGCTCTCGGCTTAGACTAGCCATATACATTTTTTCTCCACCCTGTCAATGATCAGTGCTAACAGCATTTTGTATGTGTGCATGAGTTCCACAGAAACTACAGTCCAGAGTTACCATCGCATCTCTTCAGAGACACCAAGATGAACGGCACTTCTGTTTCCGAAAGATGCTCGAACAAGCAATGTCTTCTGCCTTTATCTGCCCAGACTGTTTTTCACTTCTAATGTGCCATATGGCCTCACGAATGAATCACACTTGTTTATGGTAACAATGTAGCTTTGAGGGATCAGTCCTTAAAATTTCAGGGTCTACCTTACTGAGCCTAGGAATGGACCGTTTCTGGACTACAACACCTTTGTAAATGGCAAGAAATTCTTATGCAGCCTTTTACCTAAGAAATTTTTGTCAGTGCCTTATCTTTTGAAGAACCAGAACCTCTACAGTTCCTGTATAACTTTTGTTTGATTGTTTACTTTTTTTTTTTTTTGCATGAGAAGTGTATTTCATTTAAGCTTTCATTCTTCTTGAAATGATGGTGTTTCAAAGGTGTCTGTCATGAGGACACCAACCAGCATGAATGAATGCCAAAACTCAACAATCATCAATTGATGTTCTTAGCTCCAAATGTAAAGGCACTGCAGTTTCAAAAGTTGCAAACATGTCCCCCAAAATCATTTTGTTTTACTCAGGTCCAGCTGATCCTTGTTCACACTGATTGGTAGAATTTGCAGCATTTGCAGACACTTTTCTGGTCTTATTTTTCCAAGCAGTGTTCAGTAGTTATTTTTCTCTGCATCAGATGTACCAAAAAATCTGCAGCTTATCTATCACTAAATTATTTGGTAGATGACAAGAGCAAATAAAAATTATGGTTTTGATGAGAGGCAAGGGGAGGCTTTTAATTGCTGTATTCTAATAATCACATCCAGAAAACAATGCAGAAGAATACAGATATTTTTAATAAGCATAAACCTTCTGCCAGATGCTTGGTATGAAAAGGATTCTTAACCTCCTTTTTAAGTCAAGTCACACCAGAAGCCACACGACATTTTACCCAGGAATCCTACTGGAGTGCTTTCCTGAATGTCACAGGGGCTGCCTGTGCCGGAGTTGAGACTAACATGGGAATGCAACTGAAACTGGTATCACTGTGACTTTCTACATTACAAATTGAGATGGCTCTGAATATAAGTGCAGGCATGAAGAAGAGCTGATAAAGAGCACAATCTGAATACTGATGATTGTTCTGACAGGATAGGCTGATGAGAAGTGGATCTAAAACAGACTATGGGTTTTCTTTATTTGTTTTAAGAAAACATTAATTTTTTATCATCTGTTTTGCTTAGAGGTGTACATGAGATTCAGAAGAAATGCAGGATGGAATGGATAATTTTGCATTTTTTTTCTTATGTTAGTCTATTGTAACCTGGCTGTACATAAAATGAATAGAACAGGCCTTAAAGAATAATTTAGGCTCTGTGTAAATTAAAAAAGAACGGGACTTTGCTGATTGGGCATGATTCATGTGGCAAATCTTACAGCATCTCTGACCATTAGATAACATGCAAGACATGAATGTTAACATTTTTTGGATGCTTAGCTTGTTTTCTAATAAATATAAGTTAATATGTAAATTCAGTGTAAATATCAGTCAATTAAACTTTACAGAGAGTACGCTTTTAAAACTAAGGAAGTTCCATGACACAGCACCGAGCAATGCTCTTATAACAAAGACCCTTGTTTCCCCAGCACAGTGTTCTGAATGTCCACATGGCAAAAGTTCTTCTTGCCATGTATAAACTGTGAATTGTAATGAAAAATAAAGTTTTTAATTAAAATAAGCTTTTCTGAATCTCCTGCTTGCTACAACTGGAATGCTAAGAAATAATTTGTGAAACTGATTTTTGTGTTTTCATTGGTTACAGATTACAGCAGTTTGCCACCTGCTTTAGTTTAAGCTGCTTTAGCAATAAAGGCTTGACTCACCCAGCACAAAAATTACTATTTTTTGTATATTATTAAAAATAATGTTCTTTGGTTGGTGTACCTTGAGTTTCTTGCTATTTTGTTTCAAAAACTTATTAGGGTGTAGTTTCTCCTGTCATGTGTAACAGAGCTGATGGCGATTGCTCCGTCTTTGCACCAAGGGAAGTGCACTGAGCTGGGCCCTGTCCTGATGATTCTCATGTGGTTGCTGGTAGCTTTCTGCAGAAGCATGTGAACAAGCAGCTCTGAGGACAGCAGCCTTTCACACCGGAGCCATTGTTTCTACAGTGAATATTTTACAATGACATCTCTAATTAGGTCTTGGCTAATGGAATGAAAGCCCACACCAGTGTGGGGGTAAGTGAGGAGGACTGGTATTTTATATTGTTTCAATCTGATTTGTGTGGATGCATTTTAGTGCCTTTTAGAGATGATTTTGTCAGAAAGGGACAGGTAATGGTCAATAATTATTGTCTTTGACACTCTGAGATGCGATATCTTATGTTAAAGCCTTGTATCACTCTGACCAAATTATTTCCAGTTACCAATCTATAGAAGTGTGTGGGCTAGTGATTTCTTTCATTTTAAAGAAACTTTTGGGTGTCTCAGGACTTGCTGAAAAGAGTGCATTGTTTTGAGATCCTTTGACAACATTTGCAATACTAGTATGGATATTTGTCCATAGTTTTTTTTAGTTTTCCATAGTTAGTTTTTATTTGCTTTGATTTTTGTATATGATCTCTGGGAAGAGAACCCCAGTTAGTTTATATAGATAAGATATTGTTTTGTTTTTTCTCTTTTGTAACAGATCTAAATTATCATCCCCTAACAAACTAGATTTGCCTGTTGGGAACAAAGCAATAACAAATAAAATCTTTTTCTTTGAAGTTTAATAATTGAAGAAGAAAAGATACCACAGTCCAGATGGTGAAAGTAGGTAGAGTTACCATGATATCCAAATGTCTCTAGTACCACTGAAGTTATTGGAAAATTTTTTTCTCCCTCTCCACAGACAGCGGTAGACCACAAATGCTAAGGATGGCTAAGTTAATTTATAATACTAGATGAACTCTTTAAAGGTTTTTCTATTCATTATAAGACTAGATTTTTATATTAAAAAACCTGTCTTTCTTGGCACTGGAAATCATGAATAACTCATTTTGCCTTCCAAATATGAAGCTACAAAAGTATGAATTAGGAAACATTTGTACCCTCTTTTCTGTCACCCATACATGGTAATATTTCATGCTGTTAATACGCTTGGTACTTAAGCAAGTTCATGAAAATGGTAAGGGGTTTTTTCTTTTATACTGCCAATCAAATACCTTTAAAAATCAAAAGACATTGGCACAATGTTCTGTTAGAGAGACAAGTTGTAGCACATAAGACTGTAAAGGCACATATGCCACTTAATAGAATAATTTATTTCTCAGTATTAAACGCTGTGTTAATAAAAACAATCTGAAATCTCTTATAGCAATAGCTAGAGGTGATCTATGTTGTTTACTGTTGGCTGTGATAATCTCGTCTCTTTTTTTATTTGGTGACTATATATGGTAAAGTTCATCAAAGCCTCAATTTTTGGATAGCCCTGTATGAGAGGTAGGGAGATTGAGTTGCAGAGAATTTGTACCATGTCCCATTCTTGCTTGAGTACCAGGGCAAGAGCTTACTTTGGCATATCCTCCATGCATTGCAGCTCCAAGCTGCCTGCCCTCCTTTTTCTAATATTCAGGCAGCCTTGAAGTGTTACTGTCAGAGCTGCAAAAAGCATGGAAGGCCCAGAAGTTTGCTGAATCCCATGAACATCCTAGCCATGTCTCCTCTCTTCACTTTTTCCTTATTCAACAGGAGGAAAGCTGGAGGGTGACACAGGAGCCCACAAAAGAGCTAAACTTCTAAAGGTACCACCCCTTGACCTGGAACGGACCTTCCCTAGGTCACTTAGGTCAAACTGTAAGACCAGGATCGCAGATGGGAAAAAATCTAGTCTGCATGTTTGTTTGGAGTTCTTGCTCCTTCAGCATTATTTCCACACCAATGCCCTCTAAATAGGAACACAACACACCCCACGGAAGAAGAAACGGAAGGTTGCTCTCCTTAGTCAATTTTACATGGACGTCAAAAGTCTATATACATTGGTAACTATTTCCTGGGAAGAAAATATTCCTGCCAGGGAAACTACATACAGTGTCAAAATACAGCAGTAATACTTCTAATAAATTGCTGTCATACAGTTATATGGTAGTTTCCTTTTATTTCCTACCCTGCAGTACTGTTTGAAAGGAATGGATTTTCTATATTTAGAGAAATACGCGTTTTGCATGACTTTCAGAGTTAATTATTTTGTCATTAAAAAATTATTCAAATTATTTTGTTTGTGTTGCTCTGTGGATTTAAATGAACAACGTAACCTTATGGTGAATAAGGTGTTCTTTCGTAACCTTATGGTGAATAAGGTGAATAAGGTGTTAAAGTAGATAAGATTCTCATTTACTGTTACTGGAAATAACAAGCTGTTGAGCTACATGGAGATTAAAAATGTTAGCTTTTTCATTTGAGAAATCAGTCTGTGCTTTACCAAATTATTCTTACAGTTGTAAAGAGCCTGTGTGAGAATCAATAGGAATAGGTTTATTATACTTAGAAAACTTCAGCATTTCAATTTTAGGTCATTGCTTTTCATGCTTCTACAACTTTCAGAGAAATATTTTGAATAAGCTTGTAAACAAGTATATTACTTATTGCAGAAAAATAAGTACCCTTTATATATAACAGCTGATACAGTAGCATATGCAGCTTTATATTCTGCACCGAGATATAATTGTGCCTTCAATGTATCAACATTGTTGTATCATCTTAAACTGCCTGAATAGCCACCTTGGTGTAATGACTATTGTTTCATGTAAACTTAGTGATTTAAAAATATAGCTCATTTTTAAGT